ATATCAGTGGTCTTGCTGGCCTGGGGGCCACCAAGGCCCTCTTCTCCCCTGCTGCCTCCAAGCAACTTCATACAAAGGGCACAGCTGCAGCTTTTGCCGGCTCTTGCTCTTTGTGCTCACCAGGGCCAGACTTGAAGTAGTCAGGGCTTAAAACAGTTGGAGCAATCCTTTCTTTCTCTCATCGTGGTTTCTCCTGTCTTCATGAACTCCATAGGTCTCTCCTCTTCCCCTGAGCTCTAGAGGCCCCGGCTTGGCTGTTGTTGCTTTTTAAAGTTGTAAATTGGTTGATTGTGGGAAAGGGGGATGCTGGGGACCATCTATTCCACCATGTTGATCAGAAGTTCCTTCCATTACAGTTGAGGTTAGGATATTAAGGCCACCTCAGTGCTAGAAAGCCAGGTCCCTTGAAAATACACATAGTAGGACTCAAAGTGGCTATGCCTTGCCTCCAATCCTCCAACAGTTTTTCTCTGTTGCCTCACTCCCTTCAGCAAAAAACAAACAAAACATGCTCATCTTTCAACCCAAATAAAAGATCAATTTCATAACATCCCACCCTGAGCTACTATTGTTCTATATACTTTCAATTTAGCTGCCATCCCGCTAGGTTATCTGAAGCTCTTGACCTAAAGGCAGCCGGTGACTTAACAATTTCTAATATAATCTACCCAGCACTCTGTTCTCTGATGAGAGAGTGCAGCTCTCTGCCCATTGACCACACTCTCTTCCTTGATGCCATCTCCCCCCACATTTCTGTAACATTGTATCAAAGGCCCTAATACTTCTTGTTTCCCTTGTCCCTAAATGTGTCTTACTGCCCTGTGCTCTGACTTTGAGCCCTCTGTCCTGTTGTTCTAGTTCTTCTGGGTGAGTTCATCATTCCAGCACTGTGGATATTTGCCAACTCTATCCTTCTAACTTCACCCCTTGCTGGACCCATATTTCCATTTATACAGCCCACCAACACCTCAGGTTCAATGTGTCTGTAGTGAGAGAGTATTTCAAGTGTGCTTTCCCCTCCTTCTGCATTCATTCACCCTCATCACTTCTAGAAGCAGGTCCTAGTCCTAGCTAAATAGTTAGACATGGGAAAAAGGTCACCTATATAGATGCACAGAACAGAGGGAACTTATTCTTGACTCCCAAGTTTAAAAAGATGTTCATGTTGGCTTAAGGTAAAAGGTCTTAAATGTGTATTATCCAAAAACGTATGCCAGCCCAACCAGACCAGATGAACTCTGGATGACATCTGAGGAAGCAGCTTTGCATTTCTTAAGCAAGTACCACTGGCTGCAAGTGCCATGAAAGCATCATGAAGACAGGTAGCCAGGAGGAATGTTGGATGTCTCTTGCTTCTGTCTGATGAGGACTACTCAACAGGTACCCAATACCCACTGTTTCTTGATTGTCTAACATAAGGAACACCTGAATATACCCCAATGCTTTGTCCCCAATATCTTCCCAAATGACTCACTTTTTTGGTTGACCCCTGACATTCTTAAGTTTCCTAGAATGGATGGTGAGACCAGGGTGGGTGGCCAGGAAAAGACGGAGTGGCCAGGAAGCTTCTGCACCTGGGCCGATGGAACAGGTGGAGATTTTTGGCTAAACTGGTAGAAACAACTCTACTGATAATTGTCTTTATCAGACTGATTACCTCCTGTTCCCCCTACAAACTCCTGCTCTGTACTTGCTAGTTCTTCTTTCCAAATTCCCTATTTTTGTTAATCATACCATGGAATCATCTTCAAAAATTTCTTCCTATAGTGGGCATCTATGGTATTGTCTGCTCATCACATTTCTTATTTTCTAGAAATGACATCCCACATCTTCACCAACCTCCTCACCCCAAACACTAATTACAGTGGGAGGTCCCGGTGTTCTTACATGATTCCATTCCCCATACCTGGCCATTATTTATGGTTCCAGAGTGGGCATCTGAACCAAAATGGAAAGAGTCTATCAGAAATATGTAGGCTGCAAGTAACAGAAAACCTGACAAACAGTACCTTAAATTATTTTTTATCGTATAACAAGAGGTTCAAACATAAGCAGTCCAAGGCTGGTGCATCTGCTCAAGGATGTCATCAGGACCCAGGCTGCTTCTATCTAACTACTCTGCAAACCTTTTCATGGGATTTGCATAATCTTGATCATAAAATAGTTGCTGCAATTCCAGACATCATATCCAAATTACTATAGAGAGGAATTATGGAGAAGCTAAAGGCAAAAGGTAAAGGACTGAGGGGCAGACACTATGAGTCTGTCCCTTTTACAAAACTTTCCTGTAATATTTGAGTGATACCTATACCTCTGTGAAAAACTAATTTTAAAATTCTTTCAGTTAAAGAAAAAGGAAGTCAATGACAAAAGATGGCATTGGATATTTAGCCTACATACAGTTTTAAGAATCAATTATTAATGATCTATGTAAGCACTTGCCTCTAATGATCTAAAAGTTTAAAATATAAATTCTAGGACAAAAATAGAATAAAAACCTAAAAAATTCGACTTTTTTTGTGAATCTCACCCTCACCCCCATAACCCCTACCAGAATTTCTGACAAGGTGAGCAAAAGCAGGCTAAGGCAAACACACATGTTTAGCAAGACTTTGTTACTAATTAGCCTGAGTTTCTGTATTTATCTAAAAGCAACAAAACGGAATTACTTTGATAATACATTTCTTAAGTTCAACACTCAAAACGTGGGAATTGATGAAAACAGTATAATTTGTAAAAATAGTGGGAATTGGTTGTGTGTGTGTGTGTGTGTGTGTGTGTTGTTAAAAGGCAGTAAGCTACCAGAAAGATGAAGTCAGAGCCCCCTCACATTCTTCCTAGAAAAGGGAAGAATAATATGCCATCACCAGGCCTAAAATCAGTTATGTTCAGCAGGGCTTTGGGGAATAGAGGAAGGATAAAGTTCATAAGAATTCTGAGAAGCATGTGGAGTATGAAAAACGATATTTATATACCTACACCTAGTAAGTTTGCACAAGGCTAGTTAGAATATTTTTGGCTGGTAGGGTCATATAAAAAATAAGTTTCAAAGTAGTGCAGGAAACAGATCAAAAATAGATGAGAACCCCTACCTTATGTTTTACAACTTATTGTAAGCTTTTAATTTGTCCCACTAGCTTTCTGATGCATAAAATTGCTTAGATAGGGGATGTCTTTTATTCCATACTGACAAGACTTAAATACAAGCATACTGCTTAGGGACATTTGAACCCTCAGGAAGATGACTTAAACTCACACTAACCAGGATATTAGGCCTTTCGTAAGCATTGCAGAATGGGTTGAAAGTAGGGAGGGTCCTGGGACCCAGAGGAAGAAAGGAGAGAGGCCCTTTGCATAAAAAAGCTGAGGATGGGGAGGAATGGAAACCTAGAAGTTAGTACACAATTTGCTCAGGACCAGCCTTTGTGACTGGGCAAATGTTCAACAAGTTCTGTAACTACTTATCTTCTTCTAACTTAATGGGTATTCACAGAATCAGAGCAATAATGAATGAGTTTCTTACAGATAAATGGGCAAGAGAGGATCCTTTTCACTAATGAGGTTCATTTATCATCACCAGGCCCAGGCAAACCCCATCAGAGGCATCCAGAAAAGGCAAACAACCCTTTCTAGGGTGATAATTCTTATCTTTCCTCCCCTCCTCTTCTAACTCAGCCTCCTGGCAGGTTACATTATGGCTAAAAGCTAATGGTATTTCTTCCCTAAAAGTAGTTTGCTTACTCCTCAATCCAGGCCTTTACTTCCCACTGACTCTTAGCTGCTAGGCTTGGGCAAGCATGCCCCCCAGCCAACATTGCGTTCCATGTGAGTTGCCAGATGCAGTTGTGGATGGATGAGATACACTGGTTTGAACAACTGGCTTGACTCACAGCTGTTGAAATCCCATCAGTGCCTTTAGCCACTAAGAAAAACCTTGTGGGAACAACCCTCAGTGGCTTAAATTACCTGCCACTGGAAATTAAAATCATCCTGGATACTTAAGGAATAAACTTTTACATCCATATACCATGGAGCTATGGTATGGTTACTGGGACAACCCCCCCCCCCCCCCCACCCCCCGCATATCGCATCTGTTAGTTTTTTTCCTCATTCTTTAAAGCGTGGGGGTCAGGGGGAAGGGGACAGGGACAGAGTGAGAGGAAGGAGTGTGGATCTTTGCCTTCCTAGTTTACAGGAGTTGTTGGAAGTATTAAACTTTGAGAAATATTTGGCAGCACCCTACAATAGTAGGATAAGTTTTTTTACATTTCTTATTTCTTAATCACCCAAACACACCAGGTTAAGAGTTTTATGCTGGTTAAGTAAAACAGTCATACTATTTTTCCTGTTTCTAAAATAATCAAGTGGGCACTGTAGAAGCAAGGCCCGGGAAGATTCTAAGGACAGAACTGAGATGCCGACTTGATCCCAGAGAGTCTTTTCCTAAGATCCTCTTAAAAGCCCTTTCCTAGCTATCCCAACTCCCTTCAGAAACTCGTCCTTAGGTAAGGGCTTCCCGGCCCCGCCCCCAGGGCTCCTCCGAGCTCTGGAAGCTCGAGGACTGGGACCGGGGGCGGAGGGGCGAACCGTAGATTCCGGGCCGGTTCTGTACTCTGCAAACCCTGTTTGAAAATGTGAGTTGGGCGGGGGTCTCTGCCATGTTTCCGTCCCGGTCCGTCCGCTGCCTCCCAGCCGTACTTTGCCTCCTCCCTGTGGCTAAGCACACGTAAGTGACACGACAGCCTCTTTCAACTCTCGCTTCGCTGCCGCTGCGCTCCCGCCTTGGCACCGGCTCTCGTGGGCGCGGCCGCTGCAGGCGGCGATAGACCGGACTACAACTCCCAGCAGCCCCCGCTCCCCGCCCCCGGAGCTCGACCCGGCAGTAGCTCTTCTCTGCAAGCGGTTACCTCTCCCAGTGCAGCTCGCCGACTCCGGGACCCCGAGGACTTGGGACCCGGGCTCGTGGACGCGGGCATTGCCCGGGGTGACAGCGCGGGAGCATGGCCTTGTCCCTGGGCCGGCTGGCCGCAGGCCCCTGCTGGCGCGCGGCACGCGGCGTCTGCGGAGAGATGCGCGCTTGGTCCCAGCGCTGCGCACCAGGACGCATCTGCCGGCCCCCTGGCACGGCTGGCACCGAGCTGAGCCGCGGGCTGGGACACGGCCCGAGCCCCCTGGCACGGCTGGCCCCGAGCTGAGCCGCGGGCTGGGACACGGCCCGACGGCGAGAGGCCGACCCTGGCTGGGGACCGGGCTGGCCGCGGGGCTGGCGGGGTTGGCGGGGCTGACCGCCGCCGCCTTCGGGCATGTGCAGCGGGCGGAGATGGTGCCCAAGAGCTCTGGGGCGCCGAGCCCCTCGCCCGGCAGGCCGGAGGAGGAGGACGAGCTGGCCCGCCGCTGTCAGTGCTTTATGGCCTCACCTGTGACTGACGTGCGCGAGCTGCGGAGGAGGCCGGGCGACATGAAGACCAAGATGGAGCTGCTGATCCTGGAGACCCAGGCCCAGGTGTGCCAGGCGTTGGCACAGGTAGACGGGGGCGCCAGCTTCTCTGTGGACCGGTGGGAGAGGAAGGAAGGTAAGGAGGTCTGCTCCTAGCGGGAGGCGGAGATGGGGGGAAAAGGTCGGTCTTTAGGTTGCAGGCAGAAAGTGGCTTGAGTAGGAGATAGAGGTAGGTAGGGGATTCCCTCAGAGAAGGCTGCTTGGTTAGAAGGGACACCGTTAAAAAGATTGACACCGGGGGTCATCAGTTCTCTGCCTGCTGGTGGGGACCTAGATCTGCTGTCACTCTAGTACTGGGTACTTAAAAATCTTTTCAATTCTGTAACGACGTTTTTCGTAGAATTCTTCAGGGATATTTGCAGCCAACAAGCTTAGATGTCCCAAGTTTATTACTGAACATAGATTTCCCCCATATTTCATCTGCTTCTCTGGGTGCGTTTGCCCTTTCTCCTCCTCTGGAGATGGAAAGATGAGCGCGGCTCTTCCATGCTAACTAACCCTCAGCCAGGTTCCTCCAGCTGAGGGTATTATGGTGTTGAAATCTCCCCATTTCTTTTTCGTTTTGCACAAGAAATATTTGATGGGTTCATCAGTAGCTCTGCCAATTGCACCTATCAGATTTCCTGCTAGGAAAATTTTTCCTTCCAATGCCAAAATACTTCACTATCAAAACCCACCTGTCATAGGGTCATATATTCGTGACCATGGTACCGTGAAACCCCACATCTTGATTATACACTTGAAGGATCCCTGACTTTTTCTAGCTAAATACAACAGCAACTTCTTACCAGCAGATCTTGAGCTGTGATACTGCCGCTTCTGTATTCAGTGAAGTTCAATCTGGTTTTCACGTGACCATGGTACCGTGAAACCCCACATCTTGATTATACACTTGAAGGATCCCTGACTTTTTGTAGCTAAATACAACAGCAACTTCTTACCAGCAGATCTTGAGCTGTGATACTGCCACTTCTGTATTCAGTGAAGTTCAATCTGGTTTTCATAGTGTTTTCCATCTTGTAGTGTTTTCAAGTGAAGACCACTGAACCAGGACACAACCTCAACTACTAGACTAGCTGTGTGACCTTTAGAAGTTATTTAACATTTTTGTACCTGTTTCCCATCTATGAAAAGAAATGAAAAATTATGTATATGTATATGTGTGGTATGAGGATTAAATGAGATGAATATATGTAAGATACTTAGAATATTTCCTGAAACATAGACAAAACTTGGACACATTGTTTCAGCCACTTGCCAGCTGTGTGATCTTGGATAAAATGCTTTGCCTCTCTGGACCCAAGTTTTCTCATTTGGAATATACTTGGGTTGTACTGGATCGTCTTAACGTCACATCCTGCTCTAAAAGTTCTTAGAAATACAACAAGCCAAACATGAACCTTCATCAAACAAATGGCCTTGCAATGATCCTAGTCACTTAAACAAACAAAAAAAGCTATCGAAAGTAGGGCTCATATGCCTAAATATTGATGTCTCACTCAGATTAAGGTTCTGAATCCCTTAAGAATTTGAATATCTACTGTTTTTAAATTGCCTTTAAACAAAATTAAAAGGCAAACAGCACACTGAGAAAAACGTTTTTGAAACAATATGGAGCTCTTAAATTCAGTCATAATAGAGTACTCCAAGTATTTCCATTTCTGTTTTTAACGTTAGCTTTCTCTCATATCTACGAGTATTCCAGTGATTTATTTTAGATGGTGGCATAAGAATGTAGAAGAAATAATCAGTTTAGTGATATAGGGAGGTTCAGTATTAGCCTAGTATCAGTAGTTTGTGTCATAAAGCTAAGCTATTTATCTAATTTTATTGTATGTAAAAATTATTGATATATTATAGAAGGTTTAGGAAATAGAAGAAGAAAAAACTTCTAATACCAGCATCTTCGTGCAAGGATTGTTTTTAATTTTGCACATACTCTTAACATTCTTTCCTTATTTTACATTTCCGTAAACAGGAGGTGGTGGCATAAGCTGTGTACTTCAAGATGGGCATGTTTTCGAAAAGGCTGGGGTGAGCATTTCTGTCGTTCATGGAAATCTGTCTGAGGAAGCAGCAAAACAAATGAGAAGCAGAGGAAAAAATCTGAAGACTAAAGATGGTATATCAGACAATCTTAACAGCCTTTAATAGTCCTTGCAAACCTTTTTTTTCCCACAAGTTTTATTTATAAAATAAATACTGCTTCTGTAAAGATCCATTTGGGTGCACATACCAGATAAGCATGTTCACAAGTACTTTTTAAAAATTATGTTTTAAGAGATAAATTAAAAAGCAGCTTTTGAAAATTGATTCAGAAATCACATTAGAGTTAATTTGTATCAAGCCAGATGGTTGAATGCAGCTTACTACATATTTTACTTTCCAGGTAAATTGCCATTTTCTGCTATGGGCGTGAGCTCTGTTATCCACCCCAAGAATCCTCATGCTCCTACTATCCATTTCAACTACAGGTATTTTGAAGTAGAAGAAGCTGATGGTAAGGGTCTCAGGAGCTGTGGAAAGTAATACTGTGCTAAATGTATATTTTAAAACTTATTTTATAAGGCATAACATCTAAAAGTGAGAAAGAATAAATACATCCTTAACTAGATTTTTCAGAAGGCATATGAAGACTTACTTCTTAGCAGGTGTAATGGTTTATACACTAGACGTGAAAAGTGAGAATGGAGTTGGCTGACTTTACCTTCCCATATTTCCTCCAACACAGAAGGAATGATTTAATGAACCTGAACTTCAGAATGCACACAAGATTCTTGCAAATATAAATTCGTTACATCTGAAGGAAAACCTTATGGGCCAGGTTATGTTGAAATTGAGAACTTGGTTTTGGAAAATATTTTCCACATGCATAGCTTTGCTAGTCACCAGTGCTTTAGCAGTCAGTTTAAAATGGGGTGTAGTTGATCATGACTCATGTGCATGTGGTTCCAGCCTATGTCTCCTATCAGCAGGGCCATCTGGTACCAGTTGTCAGAGCACCTGTTCAGTGCCACAACTACTCCTACTGGTGTCCTTGCAGGTCATGGCATTTAAAGTCACCACTGTAACTTTTCATTTTGAAGCCATTCAGTTTGGTTCAACTTTCTAATATTTAAAAGTTGGTAACTGGTATTGACAACCCATAAACCTAAGTAAGCATATGAAATAGTTATTCTTAAATGGTAAATTGCCTCCCTCAGCAAGTGTTTTTACCCTCTCTGGGGGAAAGGGGAGGGGTGGCAGTAGTTCTTAATATAGTGAGCATCAGAATCTTCTGGGGTGTTTCTGTGAAAAAACTATAGATGCCTGGGCCAGAGATTTGTTTTTTTTTAAACTGTGATCTAGCGGAAGTATTTTAAGCTCTTCGTGTGATTCTGAATACAGCCAGAGTTGAGATCAACTGCCTGGTCCACCTGTATAATCTTCTGGGGTGTTTCTGTGAAAAAACTATAGATGCCTGGGCCAGAGATTTGTTTTTTTTAAACTGTGATCTAGCGGAAGTATTTTAAGCTCTTCGTGTGATTCTGAATACAGCCAGAGTTGAGATCAACTGCCTGGTCCACCTGTATGGTGTTTTGTCTTTCACTGCCCTGCATATTATTCTTCTGCCTGGTTATACTCTCTCACTTTTTAATTTTCTACTTCCTTTTCTCTCTGCTTTTACCTCTTCTTTCCTGCCTAGGACTTACCTTCAGAGCTAACTTCAGTTAAATGTTTTTTGATTGTCACCTATTTTATGCTTAATAAATTAAGCTGATGAATTAAGTTTGCTAATACAGTCAGTAGTATGCTGAATCTCAAAGTCCATATCAGAATCCCATGTCTTGATTTGGTAGGTAACAAGCTGTGGTGGTTTGGTGGTGGATGTGACCTCACTCCAACATACTTGAACCAAGAGGATGCTGTCCATTTTCACAGAATTCTGAAGGAGGCTTGTGACCAGCATGGTCCAGATCTCTACCCCAAATTTAAAAAATGGTAAGTAAAGGTATTGAATTTTTCATGACCTCCAAAGTATATTTCATTCCTTCTTTGGGTCCTGAAGGCAACTATTACGTCACTAAATACCTTCTTCGGCTTATGAAGATTGAACCTTCTTACTCTGCTCACCAGAAGTGGGATACCAGTTTTAATAAATTATTTACTTAGAAATATTTAGATATCTGCAGTATGTATTGAGTAACACCCTTTTTTTTGATCCTAAATGATTTAGAATGGTGCAGTATAAATGATAAGGTGATGTATACTTGAGAGTCAGAGGTTTTTCAGTCCTAGGGCAGGATGTTAAATTCTCATTCCAGGTGAGAATTATTGTCCTGATATTGAATTGGGACTGTGTGAGGGCATTGGAAGGGTTGGAGAACCATTAGGGAGAGATGCCAGTATACCAGAGATTTTGGACAGGGAGAAAAGTAGAATTGGAGACTTTTTAAAAGAAACTCTAATGTCAAAGTAAGAAAGAAAAGAAAAACAAAAGTTTTGAGGAGACTCAGGATATTTCTTACATGTCAGATGAAGTCTTGGCATAAATCATTTGGAGTAAGAGTATAAAGTACTCAGTTCTCCTTAGAGCTAGTTGACATTCTTGAAAAAGGAAGAGCAGACAGGGTTTTTGTCTCTTTGTTTTTAGAGCTAACTTTAGAATGTTGATATCACTTATACAAGAGCATGAAATTGAGACTTAAATCCTCAAAAAGGTTAAAATATTTGAATTTTCCCCTCTTAATTTAGCATTACCACTAAAAACTGCATAGCCATGGATGCATGCCCATAAGATATAGGTTTTTTTTTTCTTTCTCTCAAAACTCAGCATACTTCCTGGAGGAGGACTATTGGGTAGATAGTCCCCTTTTTTGATTTCTTCTTATAGCTATTACTGAGATGACTTTATCTAAGCAGTATTAGTAAAATATCTAGGATGCAGGCCTGTTAAAACTAAATTTTCCTATGAGTGTTTAGTAAATCTCTTAATTTTATAATCTTATGAAGAGAGATTTTGAAATAACATGACTTAGGTTAAAAGCTTAGGTCAAAAGACTTTACAGCCTTGCCCAGGATATACTTTTTAACTGTTTTAATGAAATGTGTGTATAAAAGAAAGCCAACAAGTCACAGTTGATGTGAATTATACCAATGCATCAGTTCTAGGGATTTCCACCTGCTGCCTTTTGTTTTGTTTAGGCTGTTAAAGTTTTATTTAAGGTGATCTTTTAAGTAGCTTTTAGTTTTTGTTTGAACAGTTTTTTCTATTTAAGGACCCTTATTATATAGAGATAATCAAAAGAACTATTTCCAAGATGTAAACTATTCTACAAGTTTAGCATTTAGGAAATAGCTTCTTAGGAAACCCGTTTTAGTAGACATAGAGGAGAAAAGACTCAAGAACAGATTGTTTCATGTACTGTCTTGTAGGGTAAGCTTTAATTTGTCTGAAGACTCTTATTCTCTGAACGTTTCCTTCCATTAGCCCTTTTCTTAGTCATGCATGCTGTAGAGACATCAACTTATACTGCTGAGAGACCTTAGAGATGGTTTATAGTACCTTCCTTTGGTGAACAAAGAACTGACTCAAGACAGCTCAAGTTTGCACCCTGGTTGGTATCATCATTAGTAGAAGATTCTGACCTCCTACAAAAGCAGCAGTACTTCTGAGGGCAGCCCCATCTCTTGTTTCAAGAAATACAGCATTAATATTGGACTCTCTTTCTCTTTTCACTAAAATTCTTAGAATTTCATATCCTTTAGATAGACTGGTATTAAATTGCCTGGGTGCTTGGTAGATAAGAGTATAAGCATTTTTCTACATTGATATCTTCAGAAAATCTGTTTGAAGTTCTAGTTTCATTTTCATAGTTGGACAGAAAGTAACGACACTATGCTGGCATCGATCAAGGATAGTGCTCTGAACTAAGAGGCTCACATTGACTTTCATGTCTCTCTTTTTTCCCCCCCTTTGTCCCTGATTTGATCCTGCTGTGTTTTCCAGGTGCGATGATTACTTTTTTATAGCCCATCGTGGAGAGCGGAGGGGCATTGGTGGTATCTTTTTCGATGATCTCGACTCTCCATCCAAGGAGGAGGTGTTTGGCTTTGTGCAGAGCTGTGCTCAGGCTGTTGTTCCTTCATATATTCCCCTTGTGAAAAAGCACTGTGATGACTCATTCACTCCCCAGGAGAAGCTGTGGCAGCAGCTCAGAAGAGGACGGTGAGTGACAGAATGAACTGTCTCATTCGTAACTTGGGCAAGTGGAGCAGCTAGAATAAGAGTGGGTGTTGTATTGTCTGGAGCAGATACTTTGTAATGGTTGTGTTAACACTCACCCTAATTTCTGTAATTAGATGAATATTAAATGAATTAAACATGGTGTAAAATAGTATTATAAAAATAGCAAAGTTTATTTAATTCACCTGTACATTATTAGAGACTCATAGTAGGCGTGAAGTACTTGCTGAATTTAATTCAGCAGATTTGAGTTTTCTAGCAATACCCTCCAGCCTATGCCAAGATGTGGGCATCATTTAATGTTTTTGCTGCTTTGTAAATTTGGAATCACACCTTTCCTTCATTCATCTTAAAGATTTCATACAAGTTATTTTAATGGAAATAACAATTTCAGGAATTATTTATACTTAATGATCCATTTTACTAATTCTGGAGTCTTTACTATGTGCAGTCACTGTTAGGCATTTTGCATCTATTGTCCTCAGCAAACCTGTGACCTTTTTACAGATGATAATATTTACTCTCAGAAAGGTAAGTCCCTTGCCCAGGGTTACACACTTGGTAACTATCAGATACCAGATGTGGAACTGGATCATCATGACTTCAAAACTTATAGTCTTTCTGGTATACAAAGGAAGTTAAATTAGTGAAGCAGTTTTGTGTTCTCACTGTGCTACTCTCCATAGCCACCTTGCTCTGGGCACTGAGCTTAGTGAGCTCAGTTGGGTAGCCAACCTGAGGTCATCTTCAGCCACGGCGTATTTGCAAATCAGCTCCCAATTATTCCACCCTGCTTGCCCATGTCAGTTTCTCACTGCCATCTTAATTGCATGTATACTGCTGGTCCATGGCTATAAAAATGGATTTTCTCATTTACATTAATTATGTCTCAGGCATATGAAGCTTTGTGTACTAAGAAGGTAAAGCTTTTGCCCTGAAGAGGTCAACTTAAATAATGTTTCAAGTATAAAGTTTGTTCAATTTTATGACTGCCTGTGCTATATAGTCCCCATTTATCAACTTGATAAAGTGAGAGTTCTTTAAGCTTTCTTTTTAGAAATTCCTTAAGCAATGCATCTGTTTGGGGACATGTTTTCCTTTTTTTTGTTTCCATAATTTCTCAAATATACCTTCACAACTTGATAAAGTGAGAGTTCTTTAAGCTTTCTTTTTAGAAATTCCTTAAGCAATGCATCTGTCTGGGGACATGTTTTCCTTTTTTTTGTTTCCATAATTTCTCAAATATACCTTCACCACTCTTTTCTTCTCTCTCTTGACATTTATCATGGGCCCCCTAGCATCAGGCACTATCCTGCTTACAAAGGTGGGCATAACATGGACCTGCCGAAAACAGGCTCACAGTTTAGTGGGGAAGACATACGTAAGAGGATAATTTAAACTCTATGGAGGAGTTGGCCAGGTAACTCGGTTAGAGTGTGGTGCCGAGGACACCAGGGTCTAGGGTTCGATTGGTTCCTGTCCTGGCCAGCCATAGCATCAGGCACTATCCTGCTTACAAAGGTGGGCATAACATGGACCTGCCGAAAACAGGCTGACAGTTTAGTGGGGAAGACATACGTAAGAGGATAATTTAAACTCTATGGAGGAGTTGGCCAGGTAACTCGGTTAGAGTATGGTGCCGAGGACACCAGGGTCTAGGGTTCGATTGGTTCCTGTCCTGGCCAGCCACCAAAAAAAACAAAACCTCTATGGAAAGTAAAGTGTTCTAGTTTTGCACCAGATTTTATATGCAAAGCTGGCAGATTTTTGTGAACACTAATTAGGTAAAGGCTTTAAAACTTCTTACACATAGGAATAATTTTTTGTGTGTGTTTTGTTTGTTTGTTTTATATTGATCACAAGTTATTCTGAAAGTTCCATTGTGTGTTTCATTGTATGTCTGGTGTATTTTGAGTTAGGTAGACGTGTGGGTGTTAGATTAATTTTCTGTGGTATGGTGCATTACTGTACTTCAAAGAAGGCCTCCTTCAGCCACCCTTATCTCTGGACCTTAAGATGGCCATAAACCCTGGGACTTAAGATAACTCCAGCTATTCCCTGGAAGTATCAACACTGTTGCCAGTTTTCTTATACTACATTCATAACCCATTATCTGTATCCTTTACAGGTTACTTTTCCCCACTTCCCCCCTGCTCCACCTCTCCAAAGACAAGTGTCCCTTTCAGTGGTCAGCCTGGTTCCCTTTTGACTTTACAGTCTCTTATTTGGGAATCTCATCTAGTCTCTTGCTGTCAGTTACTACTATTCTCTCTCCAGACCTTGAACTTTGGTCTTATAGTCATCTTTTTCATAGGAGAATAGAAACTGAAGACCTTTAACTTATTTTTGTTTTGTCATATTTTGGGAAAGGGCAAGAGGAAAAATTTAGGCACTAGTTAAATTGAAGGGATTGGTTAAAGTCCATAATTTACAGGCAGCCTCAGAGAGGACAAATGTGCGGAAAGCATCAGAAAGATCAGATCTCAGTGAAACCTGGTGGGAGTCAGAGAGGCTAATGTATAGAGAGGGGCATCATTCACTCACAAAAGGAAAGGAATACAGGGATCCTACAGAAAATACATTTAGGGAGCTCCTTACAAGGGTCTTTGAAGTAGGTCTTCAAACACATCATATGAAATAGAGAATGACAGCTGTCCCTCAGATGTCATGTTTCAGAAATATTGGGTGAGGAAGGTGGCTGAGAGATGAAATTCTTTTCCATGGTCTTAGGAAGGAGTTCAGAAGACTCATTTAAATTATCTTTTGAAACAGGCATAAGAAAGTATTAAATAGCTATTAGTACACAAAAGTCAATCCGTGATAATTGAATAGTGAGAACTGGAAAAGAATCCATGATATAATTATTTAAATTTTTTCAGGCCTTTGACAAGTTTCTACACAAAAAGGTGCTTTTTTTAATAACTGAAGTACCGTGGGATTCTAGAGAGTATTTTTCCGTAGGTGGGCCTAAAGACAGTAACCAGTGGGATAAATGAGAATATCTGAGTGAGGTTTAGATCAAGAGAATAATTTCTGGGTGAACAGAGAAATGATCTGAAAGAGGGTCCTATTACTGAAATTTTATGGATCATTCTAAATTTTGGGGGGAGAAATTATCCTTTTGAAATTGGGGATAAGACCCTTTTATATCCCATGTTTTTAAAGGCAGGCACAGATTTTTAAGCTAGATGGAGTCTGGGTCTGACTCTGTGGCAGCTAATGGAAGCTAATATACTGAACCAAGTTTTAGTTGATGCTAAGGATATTTTTCTAAGGAAATAAAATCAAGTGCTACAACTCAAAGCACTACCTTTTATTAGGATTGCTATTTCTCTGCAGAAAGACTGAATTATATGACTGCTTATTAATGCTATTAACTAGTTTAACAAAGGAATATCTAGAATATGCTAATCATTATTAATAAATTACTGTTAGCTGTACTTGGACTTTCAGTTACAGAAGTTTTACTCCATCTTAGTATCAATACATGTACATTATAGGTAGTGAAATGAAATCTTCGACTCTGAAACATCTCAGACTATGGGAGGGCAAGAAGGAGCTGTGTTGTTCAGAGAAGGATTGTTATTTCTTTTTTTAATTGTTCATTCTTTTTTGTGTCCATTCTTTTTATTTATGGGAAAACATAACCTTCTTGTTCTGTAACTGCACTGTGTTGGGGCAGAATGTATATCCTATTGTTCAGTGGGTAGAATGCCCTTTTATTTATGCCTGTGCAGATGGAGAAAGCTCAGTGGGCTGTAGACTGGTGTTTTCTGAGCTAGTTCCATCTGATGAGGGGTGAAGGGAAAAGCCCCCTGCAAGTATTTGTTATGGGCTAGTTTTGAGGAAGACTTTACTTTGCTGGCCCTTAATGTCATTTGATGTCTTTATGTCAGATATGTAGAATTTAATCTGCTGTACGATCGGGGTACAAAGTTTGGCCTCTTCACACCAGGATCCAGGATCGAAAGCATCTTGATGTCTCTACCTCTTACTGCCCGGTAAGGAAATAAGTCATCATAGTAGTTACCTGCCCACTCTCAGTCCCCCAGCACCCACAAAATATGAAAGTTAACACCACACATGTCTTACCTGAGACTTAGGTTGGTTTAGACTTTGCTGATTTTGTAAGAAAGTCATGGTCAAATAATTAAGACAAATCAAATTGGATGTTTTAAGTGGTGACAGGAGGAGTGGTACACCTTTGTGTGTGAGAGCAGGGAGAGGATAGAGGGAATGAGAAGATAGGCTGGGTCGTTGTGTCTGGAGGTTGAGATTGACCCTCCCTATCTGTATTTTCCTGGGAAGAGCTGTGTGTAAGTATTAAGCTAACAAATGTTTGAGATTCTACACCTTACAAAATCCTGGTTTATATTAAAAGTATGTTTTGGCTGTGGGATATTAATATTAGTCAAAGTATGCCCAAGAATTATTAAGAAACTTTATTTCTTTCACAGCAGATATCTTTTAAAAGTCTAATGTGTGCAAGGCTCATTAGGCACAGTGGAGACAAAGAAGTATAAGACATTTTTAACTCTTAGGATTTTATTTTTCATTTATTTTAAGTAAAGAGTTATGTGTGTCTTTCTTTTTTTTTTTTTTTTCTTGTTATTACATTTTTTTGCTTCTGTTTTGGACCTGCATAGATGGGAGTACATGCATTCACCCTCAGAGAATTCCAAAGAAGCTGAAATTCTGGAAGTTCTGCGCCATCCCAGGGACTGGGTGCATTGATGCAGGCAGAGCGGCTGTGCTGGGCTTTGGAGGACACAGGTCTGTGTCCCTTCCCACTGGCTGGCACTGTTGCCACCATGTGGCAGTTAGTTACCTGCACCTCAGTGTTTCAGTCTTCTCCAGTGTGGGTCTCACCTTCTTTTTGTCAGGTGGTAAAATGTTTTGGATGCTGTCAGTGATGGGCATTGAGACAGCAGATTGTTGTCAGAGTCAATTGGTGATATAGAACTCATTCATAGTTTTAGAATCATTTTATATGACTAGTTCACAAAATATGACATTGAGTTTCCAAGTATTGAGATAAGGGAATATAAATATTATAATATGTACAGGGAAACTCCTCATCTTATTTTTGTTTCATGTATTTTAAAAAGTTTCAGTTTCTGCCACAAAAATCTATGTTGTGGGATACATTTATTTCATTCAGAGAAGTTGAGATGACTTGGTACTTTTAGCATGCAGCTTGAAGGCAAAAGTTTTACTTTGTCATTACTGAAGTGTCTTTGAAATAATCTTTACATATTTCTCTAGAGATAATATTGTAAAACAAATATTCATTTTTATAATGATAGATATTTAGGAGCACTTAATTTTTTTTAATCTTGTATATGTAACAATTCAGTGATTACCTGTAGTTTTTAACTCTAAAGTGACATTACCGTTATTTAAATAAGGGATGTCTAAGTTGTAATTTTGATTTTTGTGGAACCATAATTGTTAATGTTGGGATTCTCTGTCCTTTTGAATGTGAAAGCTTATATCTCTGGATTCTGATGTTTAAAGTTTTCTATTCCAGACATTTCTTCACGGAAGTTTAGACTAAGAACAATCCTAGGGATATTGGGAATTAATTTAGGAAATGTTTCTCATTTGGAAAATGAGATTGGAAATATTTTTCCTCTTTAGGGCTGGCCCATGGCTCACTTGGGAGAGTGTGGTGCTGATAACACCAAGGCCACGGGTTTGGATCCCTATATAGGGATGGCTGGTTAGCTCACTTGGGAGAGCGTGGGGCTGATAACACCAAGGCCACGGGTTTGGATCCCTATATAGGGATGGCTGGTTAGCTCACTTGGGAGAGCGTGGTGCTGACAGCACCAAGTCAGGGGTTAAGATCCCCTTACCAGCCATCTTTAAAAAATAAATAAATAAATAAATAATTTTCCTCTTTAATTAAAACAAACATTTCTAGTGTGAGAAGCGTATACGCACATTTTATACATATATTTCTTTGCAAAATGGACTAATTGAAATTGTCCTCTTTTTCAAATTAAAGACTGCAGTTCTTATCTTCGTTTTTAAGACAAAATCACAACAGGATTCTTAATGTATGACTTTTTTGTTCATATAATAATATGAATGTATTATTTTATTTGATTCATACTGAAGTTTGTAAAAAAAAATAATATCTCGTACATATTATTTAGCATTTTCCTGGAATATGATTGTGTGTGGCTCTTTTAGGGCTGGAAAGTGTATGAATTCTTCAACTGTCTTACAACAGATCTGCTAATAAATTTTATTATGAAATGAGACTAAGGAATATTTGTATTCTTAATTTTGTCAGGATAATTGATATAGAAAAACACAAATGTACTAAAACCATAGTTTCTCACTCCTAGGTGTTTTGCCCAAGAGAAGTGTAAGTTTTGTACTCAATTTTCACAGCAGCTTTATTCATAATAGTAAAAAATTAGAAACAACCCAAATGGCCAGCAGATGAATGGTTAAACAATTTGTGATATATGCGTACATTAAGATACTACTTAGCAATGAAAAGGAATGACTATTGGTAAAGAACAGCAACATGGATGAACATCACAAGCATCATGCAGAGTGAAAGAAGCCAGACACACAAGATGCCTACTATATGACTACATTATATGAAAACCTGGAAAAGTCAAAATTTTAATGAGAGAAAGCAGATCAATGGTTGCCAGGGGCTGGGAAATTGACTGTGAATGGGAATGAAGTAATATTCTGAGGTGATGGAAATGTTCTATATCTTGATCGTGGTGGTGGTAACTAGACTGTATACATTTATCAAAACTCATTGAACTTGACACTTAAATCATGGAATTTTATTGTATATGTGAATAATACTTCAATAAAGCTGATATTGGGAAAACACAGACATATAGGTACAAATGTTCAAATAAACCTGTTTACCTTTTAAAAAATAAAAAGTAGTCACTTAAGATCTGTAACCTATTTTTAGTTGTAGTGGATTGAATTATTTCCCCCCAAAATTCACTGAAGCTTGAATTGTGTCCCCCAAGTTTTATGTATTAGAAACTTGGCCCCCACTGTGACTATTAAGAGGGTGGGAGATCCTGTTATGGTAATTGAAAGGTGGGGCCTTGAAGAGGTGATTGGATTGTAGGACCATGCGGTAGTGAATGGATTAAAAATGGTGGTCAGGGGCGTGGTTCTGAGGGCTTTAAAGAGAGTGAATGAGGAGGGTATATCTCTGCTCTCTCTGTTCTGTATTTCACAATGTGATACCTGCATCACTGAAGTCACCACCAAGACCCTCACCAGATGTTTTCCCTGGACTGTACATCCTAGCCTCCAAAACTAAGCAAATAAATTTTGTTTTCTTTATAAATCACCCAGTTTCAAGCATTTTGTTATAAGCAACAGGAATGGACTAATACAGTTGTTTAAGGTTGTTGGGGGGCTAGGCACTGGAGAAAGATAACATTTCAAAATTTCTCTGTGTCTGTTTTATGTTCCTAAATAATCGTGTATTTTCATTATGGATGAGGCTATGTCTGGAAAAAATAATTGTATAACTATTGGAAAATAGACCATTCTACTGCTGTTCAAAGTGAATTTGTCTTTCAAATTCTTATTGTCTGTTCTAAGTCTACTAGAAGACCAGGGCGCACTTCCACGTGGCAAACACTTAACACCTTACACAGGCATATTGGTAACAAGATGTGGCTGGGGGCTGGGCAGGGGAGATGTAAATGCTCCGGAGCAAATTTTTAACTAGTGCTTTGTATCCATCACTATATTCTGCTTACCCACCTATTCAGCTGAGTGTTTGAGATAAATCTTCTATGTGCTAAAGAGTGCCAGATTTGAAAGCAAAATAATCTGTTTTTTTTATGACTTCCATGTGTCTTTTGCTATTACAATTCATCAAGGCAGGAATTATCTGCAGGTTTTTTTCTAATACATCTGTGCTTGGGCTAGGATGACTCAAAAGCTAGCCTCACCTTGGACTGTACAACTTAGTGCCTACAGGTGGCTCAGAACAGGTATTCCACAGAACAAGGTGGAAGCAGCATGATTGTTTACTGATCTAGCCTCTGAGCTTATGTAGTGTCTCTCCACATTCCATCAGCTGAGTCACTAAGGCCAGCTCCAGATTCAAGGGGAAGGGAATTAGATCTCAACTCTCAATGGAAGAAGTGTCCAGGAATTTGTAGTTACATTCAAAACCTCCACATAGCCTTTCACACTCAAGACCACCAAACAGATTTGACTCTTTCCATCCTTCATTGCCCTAATCAATTCCAGTTGAGTCTACCTTTGAACTATTTCTTGATTTCCTTCCTCGGCTCATTGTCACCCCCTACCTTGGTCTCTCATTCTCTCTCATTTGAGCTTTTGCTATTCCCTACCTGCCTCTGACCTCCATTCCTTTCGTTCATAATTATTTCCCCAAATCCCATTATCACTAACCTGCTGAATTATTTGGAGCCCCCCATCTCCTATGGAAAAGATTCTAAACTTGGTCTGACATTCAGAACAATCCACTATTGTGTACCCCCTACTCTCTTTCAGCTTTATCTTCCACATTTCTGCCATGTACTTCAGCCTCAGACTATATGCCCACCACTCACCATTTTTCTGAACATCCCCTGAATTATGTTTCCTCTGGTCTTTGCTCAGGCTGCTGCTATCTCTGGAATCTCTTTTGCTCCTGCCCATCCCTTTATGCCCAGTCAAATCTCCACAAAACCTTCTACCTCTTCAGCACATTTTACTTTTAGTATTGCTTTCATCACAGTCTGTATTTACATAGTCATTCAACGTACACTTCACTTACTACAAAATATTTAAGGTGGATCTTTCCATATATTATTTATAATACTATCTTACGAATGATCTGTTAAGCTTTGTTTTCCAGCACTGTTTTGCAGTATAGTTTGGTCAAGCTTAGTCCTGTTTGGCAGTTTGTGTAACTGTCTTATTCCTAGTTTGTGAAGACAAGTTCCCAGTATACATCTCTTAAAATTCCATTTAGAAATTGTTTTCAAGGATGTATGTATTATCCCTGCCACAGTTTTAGTTATGTATTTGAAAACCCACATTTTAAAATTTATTCCTTCCCCAAAAATCATGTTAAAATTCTTATTTCATAATAAATCTAAATTAGCACATTTAAGTTAGTAATGCTTAGACATTTACAAATGGCCTTATTTAATCTCCTTGAATTGTTTCCTGAAACCAAGTCATGGGGTGTACAACATAAAACCTCACAAACCTGTTTCTGTAGGTGGCCTTATAGTGGGTTTACCAACATGTACCAGCAGAGAGAGGTAATTAAATTACATTCCATTGTCCAATCAATGTACATCCAATCAACGTACGTGGTTCTATTCTAGAAGTTAAACTTGTTCAATTAGTATTTTAAAGAATCTACCTGTTAATCCACTTTCATATTTCAAAACATGTTGAATATAAAACTTGGCATAATCCAACCCAACATGGTTTCAACAAGTCGACACAAATACAGCCATTTAGAAAAGCAAATAGACTTCATAGTCATTTAGAATTGCAACAACAACTCTATCATGAACGTGTTTGCTTCTGAAATGGTTGGGAATTATCAAACTAAAGTTCACAAAGTTGTATGGGTTGAATGCCTCTGCTATTTAATAGCAAGAAAACAAGACTTTTATCTATCTTTTTTCATAGATAAAAGTCTTCTTGGTGTCCACTGAGGGACACTCAGCTCCTGTCTTAGGCTAGCCAAAATCTTGCTACCAAACCCAAGTCCAGTTGCCTGCCCCAAAACAAAGAAAACCTGAAAGTCAAATGATAGATGGAATAGAAAGTCAGCTTTTATTCAGGAATACCAATGTTAGGCTAACCCATCCCTCCAGTAAATCTGAAGGGGAACGGCCAGACTAAAGACTCATCTCAAAGACTCAGATTTACTGAGGGGTTTTTAAAGAGGGGGCCACGAGAATGGAAAGTGGGAAATGAAAAGCAGGAGGGAGGGAGATGTGAACCGTGGGGGCTCTGTACAAGGAGCCAGGTGCAAGGTCTTGCCAAGACTCCATCCTTGCTGTTATCTTAAGGTTCTGCTTTGGGGTGGAATCAGCATAGCTTTACTGATGTCTTCCCTGGTTTCTCAGGGTCTGGATAGTACATCTCATGGCAAGTTTGAAACTCCAGGCTGACTGGAAAACAAGTTTACATTTATGTAAATAACGTCATCTTGCCCCATAACCAAGGTTCAAAATATCAAATAACCATGGGAAAAGGGGGAACTCAGAGAAATGCAAGCTGAGAAGAAAACTGTATCTTTTAAGTTTTCCTACAGCCCAGGGAGATTTAGGTCCCAACATAGCTTCAGTCCTGCTCACTCCAACAATAGTGATTTATCTATGCTCAGGTTTGGTCAAGGTTGCTTTCATTTTTCATTTTAGGATCTGCTCCATGCCTATTGCTTGACATCCTTCTAACCATGAGTATAATATGCAAATTCAACCAAACATCAATTTCTTGTAATTCAAATTGTAGCTTAACTATTGAAAATAACTAGTTCAGTTGATATCCTCAAAGAACATTTAAATTAATATTACATCAATATAAGTAAACTTACTAATTCTGCTGAAAGTAGTTTTTATTCTTTAAGGTGTACTTGATCTTATATGCTATTCAACATGAGGGTGGTACTTTAAAGTAATGTATTT